CTGTATCTGAAAGGTCCTATGCACTAGGCTCAATGAAGAAAGGCACAACCCACAGAGGCCGGAGAGGCTGCACCGCTACGCCCTCCTCTCCTGCAGGCGCTCTTCAGCCTTTCCTGATAGTGGACCCAGATCTAGAATCCCCTGCCAACCAGCAGTTCTGCGTTCCTTCTTTCCACTGTCCCTGTCTCAAGGGGTGCGCTGGTGCTGTGTGGATTCCCTCTGATCCTCAGGGCTCAGAGATCTGGCAGATTATCCTTCCCAGAGCCTTGATTTTACCTTTCTCCAGGAGTCCTCTGCCTTTTCCGGCTGCAAACTGTCTCCCCGCTGAATCTCCTTTGCCAATTTGGGCTGGATGTTACTAGTTTCAGCTACTCACTTTATCTACTCCAGGACAAGCACGGGACACGTCCGCCTATACCACCACCATTTTGTCTCTCCCCTTTAAGGTTATTATTGATAGGCACTCATTTATTATATTTTTTCTTTATACTATGTCTTTCTCTTCTTTATCTATTTTTTCTTAAAGCAGTCCCTTTAACATTTCTTCCAAATGTTGGTTTGGTGGTAATGAACTCCTTTAGCCTTTTTTTTTAAATAAACAAAAGTCAAGTTTATTTGTTCATTTCTTGCATTTGAAGTATTCCTCGATGACATCCTTTGCCTGAGACTCTTTGCCATAGTCCTTAACCACATGCAACTGCAACCAACCCCTTTACGGGGTTTTCCCTCTCTGTCAATTTTACAGAGGCCTACCCATTCCCCTAGTTTGTTGTTGTCATCAACCTTAATTAGGTTGATTTGGTGTTCAGCACAAAGCCTACCCCAACTTGACGTAATAGGCTCATCACAGTTGGATGCAACTACACAAAGGTGGGCTTGGCACTTATCTAAGGCTTTGGCAACTTCTCAAATTCTACCCGCTAGGTCATCATGGCTGAGGGCAGTCTTCAGCATCTCTTCATAAAGCAGTATTAATGTCCATTACTCCTCCAGCAGCAATGCCTTCCTCGGCCATGGCAATAGGTTATGAGTAGAGCCAAATCTTGAATGTACTCAAGATCCCCCCCCGCCCACCTGCACAACTCCATGGCAACAGAGAAAGAGCTGCTTTTTTTTTTTTTGTCTGGGAAAGTCTTTATTTGACCTTCAATTTTAAATAGCCTTGCTGGATAGAATTGTCTTGGTTGCAGGACCTTGCTCTTCATCAGTTTGAATACTTCATGCCAATTTCTTCTGGCCTGAATTGTTTCTGTTGAGAACAAAGCTGACAGCCTTATGGGAACTCTCTTTCAGGTAACTCTCTCTCTAACTCGCTGTCTTTAAGGTTCTCTCTTTGTCCTGAATCTTTGCCATTTTAACTATGATGTGTCTTTGTGTGGGTCTCTTTGGGTTCATCTTGATTGGGACTTTGTGCTTCCCACACATGTGTGACTTTTTCTTCACCAGCTTAGGGAGGTTTTCACCCATTATTTCTTCAAACAGGTTCTCAATCCCTTGCTCGCTCTCTTTTCCTTCTGGTAATTCTATGATGTATATACTGTTATACTTGATGTTGCCTCAGAGGTCCCTTAGACATTCCTCATTTTTAAAATTATCTTTTCTTTTTCATTGTCTGCTTGGGTGCTTACTGTTATCTTATCTTCTGAATTGCTGATTCAGTTCTCTGCATCATCTAATCTGCTGTTGATTCTTTCTGGTGTATTTTTTAATTTCAGGTATTGTGTTTTTTAAAAAAGTTTTCACTGGTTATTTTTTATATTTTCCATGACACTTTTATTGCTTACTATATTTTTGTTTAAATACTCACTGAGATCATCCATTTTTCTTCTATGCTCCTCGAGCATTTTATAACCATTGTTTTAAACTCAGTATCTGGTATTTCGGTTGCTTCCATTTCATTTAATTCTTTTACTGGGGATTTCTCTTCTTTTATTTAGGGCATATTTCTTTGTAACCCCATTTTGCCTCTGTGTATAAGGTGGATATGCTATGACTCTGAATTTGTTATAATGGTTTTATGATGAAGGTGTCTTGTTGGGCTCAGTGGCACAAACTTCTAGATCACCTGAGCTCAGTGCTCCAGAAATGTTTCTTGTGGGTTATGTGCACACTTCTGTTGAGTCTTGAATGCTGCTGGCCCTTTTGTGGTTGGAGCTAACTATTTAGGCAGTCTGACTGACTAAATGGGTAAACTTCGATGACCATATATGAGATGCTGTGCACGGTCTGCCCTTGAGTCAGAGTTTTTGCCAGTATGGTCTGGTACCTGCCAGAATTTCTATTTTGGGTCTGCCATATGTGTGGCTAGTTGTATTGAGCTCTGGTGTCATCTGAAGCCCACCACTGGTTGTGTTGGTTCTGGGTCCAGTTAGGCCAGGTTCAGGTACAGATTAATTTCAGACATTGTGTGTTACCAGCTTTGGGCTAACTCTCTGGAGCTATCATGCTTTTGACTGTTTGTGGCTGTACCTACTGTGCCTGGAGGTGCATGGGAGTGGTCAATCTATGTACTAGTATAAGGATCAGCTTTCTCTAGCTTAGAGCTGAGGGCATATCTGCAAAAGGACTGAGGCTTCCTAAGGTCTGCCTCCACTTGTCAGCTACTCCTCTTCCCCATAAGGTTGCCTTGTCTTCTTTCAGACCTTTACAGTGAAAGACTGTAGAGATCCCAGGCTGGCCACAAACCACAACCCCTTCCACAGGTTGTGAGCTCAATAGAGTGGGACAACTGAAATAAGGAGGACATGTCTTGTGGGTCCCCTATTTTGGGTCTACCTTGTTGGCCACTCAATGAGTGGAAAGTGGTCCCTACTCCAGAGTCAAACTACTCAGTCTATGCCAGTTTCCAGGTTCCTCTGGGAGCCTTGCTTCAGGTTCAGGTTCCAAAAGGCCATCAGTCCCCTCTGAAGGAGAAAGCTCAATAGGGCAAAGCCACAAGAGTTCAGGATGACAGATCAAAAGAGTCTTCCATTGGGGGTGATGTCAGCCTAGTCTGCAGAAGGGAAATAAGAACTCCATCCCAGTTCCAGACAATAGCCTCTGAGGGACTCACACTTTGAATGTTCCAGCTTTGACCCACTCTTACTTTCCCTTGTGGAACTGAGCCCAGCTTAGTGGGTTATCTGGTACTTGGCAGGGCTGATCCAAATAGTCTCCCATTTGAGGCAGTGCCTTCAAACCTGTAGGGAGGGGGATGGGAACTTCTTCTCCTTCCCAGGGTAGTGAGGGATAAGCTCTCAGAGGTGCCACCAATCCCCTGCTATATAGCCACACACTCCAGCACCCTCCTGTACTGTTCAAAGGCTTACATGGGAGGCATGCTCTGAAAGTCTCAGCTCTGCAAAACACTCATCCCCCTTTGCAGCTGAACTCAGCAGGATGGGGCGAGCCAAGTGATTCAACAAGTGTGGGGATGGGTAAGCCCACACCACTGGTGGGCTTCAGAGGACACCAGAGCTCAGATATGATGATTGAGGTTTAGCTGTAAAGTCAGTCAGACAGCCTAAAATGTTAACTCCAACCACAAAAGGGCCAGCAGCACTCAAGACTCAACTACAACTGCTTGATGTGAGGGAGACAGTCCTCTTTCCAAAGCCAAACCGTTTAGTCACTGTCTGAATCTCTGCCAAGAGCCTCTCCCAGAAAAATAGGGCCCCCAAAGTCACTGCTGGGTGCAGCCTGAAGACCCTTCCACAGGATCGAAGTATGGCAGAGTAGTCTCACCAACAGTTGAGGACCCAGCAGTGCAATCCCCAGTCTGGTGCTGTAACAATAGTAGTGCATGTCCTGGGAAAGCATATCTGGGTCTCCTAGGCAGTCTGAATCACTACTAATTTTCACCACCATATGCAATATGGGATCCTCTTCCCATCTCTGTTCCTCTGGGTTGGCGATCCCTGTGTGGGGTTGAGACCCCATGCTCCTAGCAGGAGGGAATTTTTCAGCTGCCTTTGGCTTCTCAGCCACCACACCTAGATTTGATGGCTAGTCCTTTATGCATCTCTGCCCTTCCTACCACTCTCTCTGTGGTTTCTTTAAATCCTTGATTTCAGTTCAGCTAGCCTTCAGTTAGTTATTCAGGTTAATGGCTCTATAATTTAGTTGTATATCCAGTTTGGGGTTGAGAGCAGGTGAGTGTAGCTTCCACCTATTCTATAGCCATCGTGGAATCTCCAAAACAATCTATTTTAGGAGGCAGTAACCTTAAGTTTAGCACACAGATTTTGGCATAATTTTGCATGATAATGAAATTGTCAGTGATTTTATTGTACTTTTTTTTTGTTTTGCTTGGTATCTCTGGTGTCAGTGGGACTTCTGTTGATCCCTGCCAGAGTCATTATTTCTGGGTAGGAAAAATATATTATAGCTTGCAGTCCTAAAGAATGTGTTCTGGGTTGAGCAGCTTACTGAAATTGAAATTTCCTTTGCTGTAGAGGAATCTGTAGCCTGTAGAGATAAAGAGCACCTTTTCTGGCCACTTGGTGTCAGAAGGGTTCCTCCTCAATCCCTGTTTCCATTGCCTCCAGACCACCCTGGGGTTATCACTAGGATTTCTGTTTGACCTTTGACTGCATTCTGCTTGGTTCATTGTTGGAAAGATGCTCAATTGCTCTGTTCTTAGTTTTTCTCCAGGATGCCTGATTTTGAGGCTTCCTCTGGGGCGGCATCTTCATTTCCAAAAAACAAACTTGCAGGCATTCTATACCCATCTATACTCACTCCTCCCCACACCATAGAGTGCTCTTTTGTTTTCAATCACAGTCACAGCTTTTCAGAGGCAAGAGGAAACATCAAAATCATCAAGTTCACTCTTACAGTGCTCTAACAAGTACTTTAGTGTATAGGAATTTCTGTCTAAAATATGGACAAGACACTTAACATTCCCTTCAGTATAATTGTACTAGTAAATTGGAGGACTGGCTTTCTGAGGAGCTTCTGGGTTCAGAAGTTAAAGGCACTCATGGCAACCACTATATACCCACTTTTCCAAAATAGTTTGCTTCCAAGGAGAATTAAAATACAATTTGGATCTCCAAATCTAACCCCACTAATTCCCCCATCATGCCTATTTGCTTAGTCCTTAGTTTAGATGTAGATTATATTCACAGCTCACTTAGTCTTGGTTCAAAGTGAATTAGGCTAGGTCCTGGAAAGAAGTAAAAACTTATTTGATGTGTTTTATTCTTGGTATGTACTTTGTGAGAAGGGTCAGTTTTTAGGAATTTCCAGATCTTCCAAGTGTCACTGAGTGACAGAATCTAACCATTGAAATTTGTGATATATAATTTTAGAGGACTCACCTAGCCCCAGGTTCCCAAGTGGAGCAAAAAGAAAAACAGGGAATATAGCATTTCTATGTAAATAAATAAGTGGTGGAAAAACCCCAAACAAGTTTGATTTCCTCCTATGCCTCTCTACCATCCATGCTCCTTTTACAGTGGGGTCATCTGCTAGTCCATGGCCTGCTGAGAGAGCATTCCAGATGTGTAGTGCCAAGATTCAGCTGTTAGTTCTTGAGGGACAGAAGCTTAAAATTATCATCTAGGATCGACCTCCTGTTGCGCCGTAGTTTTTTTTGACGATGCTGGTGCCAGACCACACCACCAAGAGCCAGGGCAATGAGCAGGAGAATGACACCAGTGGCAATTAGGATAGAAGTCAGCATCTCGATATCCTTTACAGGGATCTGCATGCCCAGCATCTTCACATTGTCTTCTCTAAAGTCTCTGGAGATTGCTGCTGAAATGGAACAAGAGGAAAATGAGCACCCTGGGCTGGAGCATACATTAAAGGGGCACTTGCAATCTACCACTAAAAGAGAAAAAACAATTCTATCCAAATAAAACAGAGGAATTATCCCCATCCCTAAAAATACCAGCTGATGAAAACAGACTCAGAGGTTACAGTGACTTCTTATAACAAGATGTTATAGCTGCCGAAACCGGTTTGGCTCAGTGGATAGAGCGTCGGCCTGCGGACTGAAAGGTCCCAGGTTCGATTCCGGTCAAGGGCATGTGCCTGGGTTGCGGGCACATCCCCAGCAGGAGATGTGCAGGAGGCGGCTGGTCGATGTTTCTCTCTCATCGATGTTTCTGACTCTCTATCTCTCTCCCTTCCTCTCTGTGAAAAATCAATAAAATATATTTTTTTTTTTTTAAAAAAAGATGTTATAGCTAAGAAAGTCCTTAGGAATCATTGAGGCCATAATCCCCCTATGAAAAGAGCTAAGACTCAAAGTAGGAAGAGCCTTAATAGAAATATATCAAGGCTTATGATGTAAAAAAATGGATTTGGTTTGTATGGTTATAAAAGGAAGAATTAAAAACAATAAGTAGAAACTCGAGGGAAGAAGTTTGACCATTGGACCTGCCACTGTGCTGTCACCTCTTTGAATCATGATAACACTGATGTCACATTGATCTTTTTAGGTGAAATATTTAATTGTCTGAGTTCCTAGTATGCAAACTTTTAATGCTCTCCAATTAACCTATGGAGTAAAGCTCAGACTCAAGTCAGTCAGGCATTCCCACTTTCACAATTAGACTCCAACCTACTTTTCTATCTTTATCTTCTACTATTCAGCTACAGCAACTCATTATTTGTTCCCCAGAATAAGTGACCCTCTTTTAGACCTCCAAGACTTTCTCATGCTCCTCCTTTTTTTTTTATTGGTTTCAGAGAAGAAGGGAGATCATGCTCCTCCTTTTGTTTGAATACCCTTTCTTCCTCCTACATTTCTATCCCCAATTTAAATGTTACAGGTCTCTGTAAAGCTTTAACTAATTCAGCTGGACAGTTAAAGCTCCTTTTTTGTGTGTTTTCAAAGTATCTCACAATTTACTTGCTTAGGTTAAGTTATCTAATTCCCCCTCATTTCTGTACTGCAGTCACCTACTTTTTTAAGGGATAATAACTGTACTCAACTCAGAGGTTTATTGTGAAGATTAAGTGTTTATAAATATTTAGTATAGCACCTGGAAGATAGTATACGCACAATAATTGATAGCTGTTATTACTGTTTGCCTTTTTAAAACAACACATAGCATCTAGCACTGCAATTATTGTTTTTCTGTCTCATTTCACTTTTTAGACACAAATCTCTTTTTTTAAAAAAATATATTTCATTGATTTTTTACAGAGAGGAAGGGAGGGAGATAGAGAGTTAGAAACACTGATGAGAGAGAAACATCGATCAGCTGCCTCCTGCATACCCCCTACTGGGGATGTGCCCACAACCAAGGTACATGCCTTTGACCAGAATCCAACCTGGGACCCTTGAGTCCACAGGCTGACACTCTAGCCACTGAGCCAAACCAGTTAGGGCTAGCTAGACACAAATCTCTTGAAATATAGTATCTATGTCTTATTTGCTTTGATGTCCCTGACACTCAGAATCTGTTCAATGAATATCTATCTGTATGAATGTATATTCTTACAGAAGTGAAACAAGATTAAGTGCATGCATATGTGTGTATGGTGATCCACTCTCAACCTCATCTTACCTCTTCACAAACCCTCCGGGATACATTCTAGTTTCATGGTTGCCAGTTTATAAGATACATAGGCAGATCATTAGAAAATTTCCAAACACAGCTGAAAAAATTTCCAACTAAACTGATAATCTCTAATATTCTTTCTAGCTCTCATAACTTTTGAATCTTTCTGAATCTTAGTTCAGGTACAAATGGGGTGGAAAATGAAAGCACTATTTGGACCTATGCTAGAAAGAACAAGAATCTGTATTTTCTTATAGGGAAGAAATGGCTGGTTCTAAAGAGTAAACTGCTTGGTATTCCATATTTGCAAGAATAAAAATACCTGGTACAGACTCTATGGCAGCTGTTCTCAATCTGTGGGTTGCGACCCCTTTGGGGGTCGAATGACCTATTCACAGGGGTCGCCTAAGACCATCAGAAAACACATATATAATTACATATTGTTTTTGTGATTAATCGCTATGCTATAATTATTTTCAATTTGTAACAATGAAAATACATCCTGATTACCTAACAAACTGCAGCTGGGCCAGACAAACCCAGAACTTCCAAGAGAAGGCCCAAGGCCCCACAGTAGGTTGCATTGCTTCACAGCTGGGCCTCATTTGGGCACCTCCAAACCCCAAATAAGGAGGGGAACCTGCAGAGCTCCTCGTAGCTCCTGCTGGTAGCCTCAGGCAGAGGCTAAATTAGCACCTCCTTAGATCCAAGAGCCAGTGTACCCAGTGGTCAGAATGCGACCATCCAATTACAACTCCTCAGATACATAGGGGACACACTCAGGGGGCAGTCGGCTTTCCCCAGGCCTCAGAGTGGGCCTCCACTCTGCAGGTGATAGACTTCCGGGTGCTGTTGACCTCACGTCTCCTTGGGAGGGGCAGGGTGTCCTGAACGCCTCCCGTATGAGTCAGGAGGCCAGGCTGCCCGCAGACTCATGTTCCATGACTTTGGTACCTTCCCTCTCTTAGCCTCAGTTTCCTTATCTGGTGATAACCCTGCTCCTGGTAGGCTGGGCAATGCTGGGCAAAAGGTGAGGGACTGGTACTATGGTCACTCCTGAAACAGAAACAGGGTCGCGGGGGCGGGAAGAGCAGGTTCTAACCCTGGCTCTTTAGACCCACAGCTTTATGGGGCCCTCCACCCACAACATGGTATTACCATCCCCATTTACCCCTGGTAATGCCAAGGCTTAAAGGGGAAAAG